TGAGTGATTCTTTCTCCTTCCTGTGTCATATCAGAAGTACATACTGACCTATAACGATGATGTTAGGAATGAATATCCTACTACAGGGAGACACTCTATGAAAATATCCTGCTTCCCAGCACACATTTGTAACTATTCTTAACAAACACTGACGTATTTGTCTGAAACAATATTATGCTGTTTTCCATATAGTTATTTTCTGTTTGTGTCATAGCTTCTACATTTATTGATTTATTGATTGGGTATTGAGAATCAAACTTAGGACCTCATGCTTACCAGGCAGCCGCTGTGCTGCTGAGCTATAGCCCCAGGCTTCCACATTTATTGATGGGGCTTCTATAAAAGAGCTTTCTCTTCTCTGGTGCGGTAGGAAATATTTGGTCTTTAGTTCTGGACACACAGCTCCCTCTGCAGTCCTCAGAATTTCCCAAATGACAAGGATGATGGGAGTGTCTTGTTCTAAAGAGGCAACTCTGGGCATGCCCCCTAGACAGTTTGCACAGGGATGGTTAGAAGATTGGTCTTTTGGTGGCATCTCTGACCTCTGAGACAAGAGAAGGGCTAGAAATAGATCTGATCATCAACAGCCATGGTCATGCATTGGTAATGAAGCTTCTATAAATACCCTAAAGGCAGGGTTCAAGGAGCATCCCAGCGGCAATACCTCCATCCAACAGGGAACACAGTGCATCCTGACTTCACAGGAAAGAGGTGCTTGTACACGGGCCCTCTCAGAGCTTACCCTGTGCATCCCTTCAACTGGCTATTCACTTGTCAACCTCCATAATCAGAAAAAGGAGAAGCACTGCTTCAGTGGGAACTAGTATTTGAGGGTATAAGAGTCCTCCAGAATTCAAGATCGTAGTATATGGCAAAGTCCAAAAATAATCTACACCTACACACAGTATAGTAAATGAAAAAGTAGATTATCTTAAAAAGAAGAAAAGGCAGGGCAGCTAAAAAGCCTCTCTGTACATATTTGTATAGAATAGTTTACATGGTAATCTTTTTATTTTTTTTGCAAAACTCCCATAGCTGCCTATTTCTCATGCCATCTAATCATCTAGATATCAGAAGTATGAGTGCTTTGGATGTAGCCATAAAACCTATGTCCTATTTCTTAAGTTATTACAGAAAGATACCTTCATGTACAAAATGTAGTCATTCCTTGTTTTGTATGTAACAGTCCTGAAGCAATCAGACCAAGTTTTCTGCCCGGTAGTGTTCACCCAGCCACAAAATAGCCCTGATCCCTCCCACCCTATGTCTTCATGATTGCCTGAAGTATGAATGCACCCCTTTTACTCCATAGGCTTCCTTGGAACTTTATGCAAGGGTACAGACTCTCCAAATAACAATTCATAAATGAAATACATTGATCTGAAAGGAAACCAATTAGTCAAATCATAGGTATTAAAATGGTTTTCTGAAGTGTGATATAGTAATTAGTGCACTTCAGGTACCCATGGCAGCTCAGGTCTGTAATCCTAGCTCTCTGGGAGGCTAAGGCAGGAGAACTGCAAGTTCAAGGCCAGCCTGGGTAATTTAGCAATTTAGTGAGGCTATATCGCAAAAGAAGTTATGGATATAGCTCAGTGTGAAGGTCCTGGGTTCAATCCCATGTACTGAAGATATATAAATTTTTAAATTCATTAAATAATATGATCTATCAATGGATTTAATAACTGTCATAATTTTAAAGGGGGACTGAGTGTACGAGATGTTTTAAAAAATTATTCCTGCACATTGGCACATGCCTATAATCCCACCATTCTGGGAAGGTGAAGCAGTGGGATTTCAAGTTCAAGTCCTGCCTGGGAAACTTAGCAAGACTCTGCCTCAAAATAATTTTAAAAGCTTTGTTATAGAATGCCCTGGATTCAATCCCTTGTACTATCCAAAAAAAGTATAGGGTGATATGAAAATATTCTTTGGAGTAGCAAATTCATACATGGTGTTAATACTGCACTGTGGTTTGTCAATGAAGAAAGTCTTAATTTTAGCTAGAGGTCTTTAAAAATGAGGATGTACTACTTCCTCACCCGAGTTCATGAACCTAAGATGAAAAGCCTCAGCCCTAGCTAGGGCGACTCTGGGTCGGAGCTGAGTCCCAGGCAGCCTCCCTTCTTACAGAAAGGGAAGAGCACAAAGAGCATACTCCATGGTCTGAATTTTAGCTCTAGAAGTCCCCAGCATTGCTTCTGCTCAAAAGGACTTAGTGACCACATCCAGCTATAACAGGTACCCAGACTTTCGTAACTGTGCTTACTTACTGTTATGGTTCGGGGTATTTGCAATGGGAACAATACAATATAGAACACATTTTATGATTATCTTACATAGTGGCTTTGTCCGCTGCCGCCTTTCTCTGATGAGTGAGACCATCTTTCTTCTCTTGTCTGCCTCTGGCCTGCAGTCCTTTAGAGACCAAAGGCCATGGCTTCAGTTAAGTTTCAGCATTCTCATGCAGAGATATTTGAAGTTGATGTTGAAATCGCCAAACAGTCTGTGACAATCAAGACCATCTTGGAAGATTTGGGAATGGATGATGAAGAAAATGATGGCCCAGAGCCTCTACCAAATGTTCATGCAGCAACGTTAAAAAAGGTCACTGAGTGGTGCACCCACCACAAGGGTGACCCTCCTCCTCCTCCTCCTCCTCCTCCTCCTCCTCCTCCTCAGGAGGATGAGAACAAAGAAAAACGAATAAATGATAGCCTTGTTTGGGACCAAGAATTCCTGAAAATTGACCAAGGAGCCCTTTTTGAGCTTTTTCTGGCAGCAAACTACCTCAACATCAAAGGTTTGCTTGATGTTGCATGCCAGACTGTTGCCAATATGATCAAAGGGAAAGCTCCTGAGGAGATTTGCAAGACCTTTAATATCAGAAATGACTTTGCTAAAGAGGATGAAGCCCAGATATGTAAGGAGAAACAGTGGTGTGAAGAGAAGTAAAATATTCTGCCTGACACTGTAACATTATAAGGATTGCTCCAAATACTAACTGTACTGCTCTGTTTATAATTGTTGATATCAGAAAAACAATAGACAAATGCAACAGCAAAACAATTATATGCGTCTAATATTGTCCTTATTGCATGTGTAGTTTGAGTTACAGATTCCAAGCCAATGGCTGAATTTCTTCTAGTCTGAGCAAAATTATTGTTTTACTTTACTTTGAATAAAACTAGACTGTGGGTTTTCTGTAGGACGTTGACATTTTGAGCTTTCATTCTTTTGGTAAAGTGAGTTCTGTGCAAGTTATTGCCCAGTTAACTGAGCTTTCAAAAGTTGGCATTGTAAACAAAACAACTTGCAAAAAAGTTGACTGCAATAGAATTAACAAAATATTATCTTTATTCAGAAGTTGGAAACTGGAAAAAGGCTACTTGAGCTAACTGTTCTGAGTGGGGTTGTTTAGAATGTCTTCCAGCCTCCTAGAGTCAAGCAGTATTACTGGTATAGATTAGCCTGCATGTAGCAGGACTCCCTAAGTTGGACCTGAGGACTTGTTTGATTTCATTTTAAATTTTTAATTATCTCAGCTTTGAATATGTTGCCTAGAGACTCAGTAACTGCCAAGTTTGTGGCTTGAGGGAGAAATGTAACTAGATAGTTTGTTAGCTTTTCAATTAAAGACAACACTTAATTCATGAGGAAAAAAAGATTATTTTATAATGAATCACCCAAAGAACCACATACAAAGAAAATGGAGGAAGTGTGTCTACACACTAAAGACCAAAGAATTCAGCTAACGGCTTGGATTTTAATATCCTCCATGAGTCCAGCTGAAACCAAGAGCCCATAACAACGCCTCCTCCAAGTCCAGCTGGAAGCCTCGAGCCCATGACAATGTCTCATGCAGGCTTGTTTCACGGATCTTCACAAGGAAGGCCCAGAGGTCGGTGGTGGGAGCTAGAAGTCTGTGTCAGTGGGATGAAGGATCTGTGCTACTAGGCTGAGGGATCTGAACTGGAGTCAGGAAGCAATGCACAATGTAAGACAAAGAGGTGCCCCCAAAAGTACCACAGCCATCCTCAGCAACAGTGAGTTCCCATCAGGAAAGCCACTGTGACAAGTCCCCCATGAGCCTGAGCAGTGCACCATCTTCCCCTCCAGAGTCAGGAAGTGATGCTCAAAATGAGGGCCAGAGCTCCGCCAAAATGAACTGAACCCATTCTCAGTGACAACAAAGGTCCTGAGCTCTTCCTCTGGCAAAAACAGCCCAATTCATCAGGTAAGCCAGCGTGACAAGGTCCTCCAAAAGAATAGCCCAAAAGAGCCAGCAGCTTCCAACATCTCCAACAGCTTCTCCAAACAGCTTCCCTAACAGCCTCTGGATAGCTTCTCCAGGTCTGTCTCTTAGGCTGCTGGTGACAATCCACAAGTGGGGCCTCCCACACCCAGCACCACCCTAGTGCAATTCAGCTGGGTGTAACAAGTTGACCACCAGTTAACAATCCACTGCATTTACCTAAGTGTAGTCCTGCAGATGCAACCTAGGCTTTCACATTGATCTACATGTCTGATGCTTTTTTTGTTTTTTTATTTTGAGCCAGAGTCTCACTAAATGGCTACATTGCCTAGGCTGGGCTTGAATTTGCAACCCTGCTGCCTCAGCCTGTCTTTGTGCTGAGATTTTAAATATGTGCTACCATGCCTGGGTAATCCCAGTCTTTAAATAGCATTATGTTGCATAAAATTTGGTAGTCAACTAATAGATGCTTCAATGATCTTATAAAAATAATGCTTACAAAATTTAACTTACACAACTGAAAAACGACGGTGAATTTCCTGGAGTGTTTCCTTGATGCCTAAGCCTCCTTCATGTGCTTTTTAAATATTGTGATATGATTTAGTTAAGTTTACTAAGTTTTAGTTTCAAAGGCCTCTAGCTAAAATTAAGACTTTCTTCATTGACAGATCACAGTGTAGTATTAACCACATGTATGAATTTACTATTCCAAAGAATATTTTAGAGCCAGCCATATAGTTCAGTGGATTAAAGCCCATGCAAGCAGGTGCAGGGGTTGGGAATTCTAACGCCCAGGCCTGCCGTGCCGGCCCCACCCCTGGGGCACGCTGAGACTGCAATTGAGACTAGGTGTGGTGGCGCACACCTCTAATCCCAGCTCTTGGGAGACTGTAAACAGGCGGATCACTGCAAGTCCGATCTACTAGTGAACCCTGAATACCCTGTAGACCTTTCCCTAAAATTAAAAAAAAAAAAAAACAAACCCAAAGAATATTTTCACTGCAAATCTAAAGCAAATAACTAAGCTAGTATGCAAACAGGAAATTACCTCATCATAAAGTTATAAATTTCATTTTTTTTAAGTTATAAATTTTATAAAATTTATTTCAGACTTTACAACATTCTCACTTTTTTGAAGCACTAGAGATTGAAAGCAGGGAACACTAAGCCTCGTCCTCAACCCATTCATGATTATACTTTGAGGTAGTAGCTTATTAAGTCGTGCAGGTGGGGGCCGGGGAGACAGCTCAGTGGAAGAAGTGCCTGACAGCTGTGTGCAAAGTCCCAAGTTTGATCCCGGTACCTCAAAAAGAAAAAAGAAAACAGAACTTGTCCTGGTGATCTGCTGCCTCCACCTCTGTTTTTCTTTTTCTTTCTTTCTTTCTTTTTTTTTTTTTTTTTTTTTTTTTTTTTTTTTTTTTTTTTTTTTTTTTTTTGGTTTGTGCGGAAACTGGAATTGAACTCAGGCCCTTGCACTTGCCAGGAAGTGCTCATTCTACTGAGCTATCTCCCCAGCCCCTGCCTCCAATTCTGGAGTAGTTGAAAATACAGGCTGCACTGCCATGCTTGGGTGCAGCATCCAGGTTCTTTCTTTTTTAAAAATTAATTTATATGATACAGGGTCTTGCTATGCAGTTCAGATTCCCCAGTGCTGGATCACAGGCATGTGCCACCCAGTTTCAGGGTCAGCACTGCACATCCAGGGTTTCAGGGCTGGCATGCGTTACTAGAACTTGAACTCAGATCTTTGCACTTGTCAGGCAGGCGCTTAAACTGCAGAGCTATCTCCCCAGTCCTCTCTTTTTTCTATACTGGGGTTTGAACTCATGGCCTTTGCCCTGAGCCACAACCCCAGGCTTTTTTGTTTTGAGACATCTTTTTAAATTACCAAATAGCAGAGAAGGGTTCCTTTTTCCCCTCTGCCTCTTTAGCATCTGTTATTGGTTAACTTCTTGATGGTGGCCATTCTTTCTGGCAAAGGATGGTGTCTCAGTGTTGTTTTAATTTACATCTTTTTTTTTTTTAATATTTTAGGGCAGGGGCTACAGGGTGTTCAGGGTCTCATTAGTAGATCACAGTGATTCTCCTATTTATAGCCTCCCAAGGGCTGGGATTACAGACATGGTGCTCGGGGGATTGGCCCCTGCGCCTGCTTGCAGTCGCTTTAATCTGCTGAGGTATTTGGCCAGCCCTAATTTACATCTCTTAAATAATCAATGATGTTAAACATTTTTTCATATATTTATTTACTATTTGTACCTCTTCATTTATGAAATGCATATTTATCTTACATGCTCATTTTTGGATTGGATCTTTAAATTTTGGAGGCCTAATTTTTAAAAATTCTTTGTATGTTCTAGATAGGAGTCCTTTGTCTGACAGACAGTCTACTGTAATTGTTTCCCACTTCATGGACTTCCTTTTCACTCTGTTAGTGATTTCTTTTGACGTGCAGAAACTTTTCAAAAAGATGAGTTTCCAGTTGTTGATTCTCTGAAGTATTTTCTGTGAACAGTTTGTAGATAAATGGGTGCAGCTAAAGACTGTATTGATAAGTGAAATACATGTGCATACGTTATCTGCTAGTATGAGAACTTGAACCTAATGAATATCTAAAAGGTAAAACAGAGTCTGTGAAAGGGAAATTGCTCAATAGGAAGGAAACACTGGAATGAGAAAAAGGACAAAAGAAGGAAGGGGAAAGATATATTTAGGTATATATGCAGAACGGTTTGGATACTTGCATTGACAATTTCTGCTGGTCTTTTGAAAGGAGAAGTTAATGCGTAAATGACTTTTTAACTCTGTTTTTTTCCTTTCCTCTTTTGAATTTCTTATAGCTTCTTTGTTTATGTTTTTTTTTTTTTTACTTTAAATGAATCTTACACATTTATATCTGGTAATCTGAACAACTGATTTGAAGATAGCATCATGTAATATAGCAACCATTGTTGAATTCTTGTTACTTTGTGTAGTGAAATCTTGTACCATTTTTAATGCTGTTTTTTCCATCACTATCTTGTGTTATTTAAAAATAATTCTTTTTTTTTTTTTTTTTTTGTGGAACCAGGGATTAAACTCAGGCCCTTGCACTTGCCAGGGAAGCGCTTATTCCACTGAGCCATCTCCCCGGCCCCTAAAAATAATTCTTAAAAAATAAATTACCAAATAGCCCAGAATGGGTTTGAACCAAAGATCCCTTGCCTCGGCTTCTATAATGCTGGGATTACTGGTGTGCACAGCCACATCTAGCCTGACATTTGCATCATTTTTTAAAAATGTATTTGTTACAGGGTCTCACTGCACATATCGGACTCATAGTGATCCTCCTGCTTTCAGTACTGGGACTACAAGTGTGAGCCACCATGCCTGGACTCTGGCTGGCTCAGCACTCGAGAGCAGGGCTGGCACTGCTCTACTGCAGAAATTGAACCTGGGTCCCTGTGCTTGCCTAGGCAGGCACATAGTTCACTGAGCTATCTTGTTGGCCCTCCATCACCACCACCTTCTTCTTCTTCTTCTTCTTCTTCTTCTTCTTCTTCTTCTTCTTCTTCTTCTTCTTCTTCTTCTTCTTCTTCTTCTTCCTCTTCCTCCTC